TTTTAAATATTAAAAAAAATAGATCATAACTAAATTTATGCTATTTTTAAGCTAAAATTGTTATACGAACTCTACAGTTTAAGGAATAAAGTCGTCGCATAGTGGGGGACGACCCCAAGAAGATATTTGTGATAAGTATGATGTGGTAGACAATGGAAAAGGAAAACATAGAGGAGCATGTTGTAGATACTGTTCTACATCTTGGGCTCGAGGAAGGGCTCAAGATATAAAATCTCACCTAGCATTGAAATGTAAAGAAAGAGTGCCCAGAAAAGTTCAGACTAAATTACTTTGGGACATTCAAAGTAAGGATGGGGATATGCAACCCGGAACATCTACCTTAAAAAAAAGGAAGTCAAATAATTCTATACTATCACTCCATACTTATTATGACCCGAAAGAAGCCATCAATAAAGCTAAAGAGGCTAGAGCAAATAAAGCATTAATTAAATAGATAGTATGCTCCGATATTTCAGTTTCTGTATTTGACTGTATATATTTCAAGGATTATACTAAAATATTGAATCCTGGGTATAATTCACCTAAGCGAACCTCATTAGCATCGTCAATTCTTGATAAGGAAGCAGTAAATATCACATTAAAAATAGAAAAAGAATTATCAAAATCGGAAAATCTTACATTATGTGTAGATAGTTGGTGTATTCCAATGAAGCATAGTATATATGCATTTGTGATAATAACAGATAATAGGAAGCAATATGTCCACTTGTTGTGTAATTTCTCGATATATTCTCACACTGCAAATTTCAACGCTGAAAAAATTCTAGAAGTACTAGAAAAAGTTGGGCCTGAAAAATTTGTCACAGTAGTTTCTGACGCAGAATCAGCAATGATAGGGGCAAAGTGACAAGTTATAGCAAAATATCTCCACATTATATCTATTAGATGCATTGCATATTATATACAATTGATTTCTAGTAGTATTTGTTGTTTACCATATGCGCAAAAAGTTCTTTCTAATTGTCAAGCAATTATAAGTTTTTTTAGAAAGTCCTATATAGCTGGTGCCGCCCTTAGAGAAAAAATTGTATCCTCTTTTACTGTCGGTGGAAATTTAAAATCGACCGCTATTCTCTTTCACTGTCGGTAGAAATTTAAAATCGACCACTAAAACTCGGTGGTTAACGGCATGGGATTCTTGCGAATCTGTTTTACGCAATAAAGCAAATATTAGATCGGTACTACTATAATTAAAATTTTAATATATGTATTAATTTTCATTGTATTTCTATTTTATAATTTATATCTTATTAAATAAAATAACAGGTTTTAGAACAGGAGCCTCAAGTCTTTGATCGTTCAATTACTGTAAAAAACTTAATTACTAATCGTCAGTTTTGGATTGATGTAGAGCAATTGCGGAATATCCTCGGCCCGGTAAAACGGGCCGTAAAAGATGTGAAGTTTCGAACAACTTTGTTAGCAGATGTATTCGTTGAACTAATCAAAATGGCAATCGCAATTCAAGGAACCTCTGTTTTGTACAACAACCAGTTTTGGCATGATTGTATTTCCATTTACAATAAGCGTTAGAATGAATTTGATACAGATTTGTATCTTCTATCTTTTTTTTTGCATCCAGCTTATCGCGGTACTTAAAGTTATATATTTTTTAAACATTTTTAAAATATATATTTTATATTATTTTTACCTTTTTCTTGTAATAGGTAATTTTCTTGAGCCTGGAGTATATAAAACTCATATCCAAAAAAAAGCAATAGAAGTATGGAAACAACTAGGTGGTGGTGATATAAGCGCAGATTTTTTAAAAGCTCAAATAAACTTATACAAAAACAAAAAATATCCTTTTGATAATGAATTTGTCGCATCTGTTGATACAATTACTAATTGGTGGATGTTTATAGATCTTAAGAAAAATGAAGAACATATTAAATGCCTTGCTACAAAGCTACATTCTATCTCCCCCCATAATGCTGCATGTGAACATGTCTTCAGTATATTAGGATAGTATTTTGGAAAAAAGCGAACTAGGTGAGTTAACTTTTTCTCTTATATTGTAAGAATTTTAAGTATATGGGGTCGAGTCAATAGAAACCAAGTAATATTTTTTAGTAAGTTTTTTTTTAAACCTTTAAATTCAAATTTGCTTGGTTTCTGAATTTCTAAATATACTTTAATGCTATTTTAGATTGAGTCTTGATTGCCTTGAGATTATGGCCCAGATACGTTCATATTTAGTTGAAAATATCAAGTTAGAACTTAATTATGTAGATCAAGATATTTGTCAAGAAGATTTTATATCGATTTTTAACAAAATCGCAAGCTCTATGGAAGATAGGTCTGATCTGTTTAGTGAGAAAGATTCATTTTCTTATATAGAAGAACTTTCAGAACAAATTGAGAGGGACGTGAAAGAGCTTTCAGAATTAGAAGACTTAGTGGAAGAAAATTCAACAAATTTAGAAGTCGAAAATCTTATAAATTTATTATCTAACTTAAAGATTAATAAGTCAGATGCAAATAAAGAAATTGTATATAGAAATAAAGATTTTAATATAAATGATATACTTGGTAATGATTCTGATTAATAAAAAGAATTACACCCAAAGAATATGGGTAAAATTTTTATTCTAAAAAAAAAGGTCTATTATCAGTAAAAATTGTTAATAATATATTGAAATTAAGCTGTCTACCAGTAAGTATATATACTTTTTTTTTACCAAATTCGTGTCTCTATCAAATTATACAAATTTGATAGAGACATGAATTTGGCAGAAAAAAGATATAATTTTATTTTTTTATTCTTTATTAGTTAAAGCATGGTAAAATAACCCTATCATTTCGAAACCAGGTTTACCTCTGCAACTTGGAAATTATGTAATATGCAAGAAACCCCATTTTATTATAAAGATAAAGCTTCTGATGAAATTCGCGGTAGATACTATCGAATAGGTAAAAATTTTATGAATTATGCCACATAATATGATCATAATGTAATCCACGGCTTTGAAAAACCAATATAGACATACAAGAAATCAAATAATTTCTCCAAGTATAGTTATTTTTTTTTTTTAGAGAAAGCAATAGCGTGTAGTGTTTTTTTTTTTTCTCTAGAAAAAAGCAACTAAGGTAAATCGAACTCAAGTATACTACTAGGGTGTTATGACTATTATGTAACACCATTCTTTATACCATCATATATCGCTGTAGATGAGAACTACATCTCAAGATATCTGTGAACAAATATTAAAACTTGCAAAAAAGAGTCTAACACCCTCAGAACTCTGTATACACCTTTGGAACTTGTATAATTTTAAACCAGTTAAAGACATTACTATGAATAAAATTCTTCGAATCTTAAAGTCTCATGGTAAGTAATTATTTTACACTTTTTTTCGGCCAAATTCGTTCTTTATCAAATTTGTATAATTTGATCTATCATTGATATCTTATGATGTAGTGATCAAATTTTGATGATTTGATACCATTTGAATCGTTTCATTAAAATGATTCAGATAGTATTAAAATTATCAAAATTTGATCACTACATCATAAGATATCGATGATAGATCAAATTATATGAATTTGATAGAGACACGAATTTGGCAGAAAAAGGTATATTTAAGAAAAAAAAATTTATCTGAGTAATTGTATTGATAATATGATATTGATTGCTTTCTTTTAAGGTCTTGCGCCCAAAATTTCTGAAGACCTTTATCATTTGATCAAGAAAGCTATTGCTGTTCGTAAGCATTTGGAATATAATCATCACGATAGAGATGCCAAATTCCGTTTAATGTTGATTAAATCAAGAATGTACCGCCACATCAAATTTTATAAAGTAGTAGGACAACTTCCCCCGAACTGGAAATAGTATTCTTAAATTTATTATTTGTACTTACTAGAGAGTTGAACCTTCGATTATACATCATCTGACAATTTTGATGATAATTTAAATTTAAATCTCTGTACTATTCTTAATTTCTTATTTTTTGATTTCGTGTCTCGATATTATTCTTTTTTTTTTTTTTTTTTTTAGCGATTATTATATTTCTAATAATACTAACACGGACTAGCTCAATAATAATTCTATGAAACCATTCTTTCTTTCTTATTTTTTAAATAAAGTTCTATACGAATCTGGGTTATACAGTTTATTGTAACCCGGCTAGGCTTATTTAA